CCCCCATCCCCAAAATGGGCGGTCTTACCCACGTGCGAGCCCGTGAAAGTTTTTTGCGGGTGAGTCGCTAACTAGGAAACCAGAAAAGCTAGAAAGCTGAAATTTTAAGGGGATATTCCCCATCCTCCTAAGTCTCATTAAGCTCAAATCCAGACTCCGGGTATGCGTGGTACTCACATAAGGGCCCGCCAAAGTTTTTTTTTTGGGTGAGTTGCTAACTCGGGAAACTGATAAATTAGTAGGCTGTAATTTTAAGGGGATGTTTTTTTTGTCTGCGTGAGTCTCAACTTGCTCAAATCCAGCCCTCGGGTATGCATGGTTCCCACGTATGGGCCCGCCAAAATTTTTTTCGAGTAAGTCGCTAACTCGAGAATTAAAAAAACTAGAAGACTGTAATTTTAAGAGGATATTGTCCGTCCACCTAAGTCTCACTGAGTTCAAACCCAGACTCCAGGTGTGCGTGGTATCCATGTGCGGATCCGCCAAAATTTTTTTTGGGTAAGTCGCTAACTCGAGAATTTGGAAAGCTAGAAGACTGTAATTTTAAGAGGATGTTTCCCGTCCACGTAGCTCTCAAAATGCTCAAATCCAGACATCGGGTATGCGTGGTGTCCACGTACAGGCCCGTGAAATTTTTCTTCCAGTATGTTGCTAACTCAGGAGTCAGGAAAGCTAGAAAGCTGAAATTTTAAGGGGGTGTTTCCTGACAGTTTTGTCAGCCAGTCTTAATTTATTTGGCTAAAAGCATTTGCCGAAAAAACCGGTACCGGTAGCGACAAAAACTGCGGAGAACTATGCAAAAAACGCATCTTCACACGGGCAGCCCGTTCGCTGATCAATTATTGTGTACTTATGCATGAAATACAAAAACTACATTACATGAAGCTGCATAGGAAACAACACAGGAAGAAAATAAATAGCTGCCTGTTACAGAATTGCCGGTTAGGTCTTGCGTTTTCCTCCAATTTCGTGCAGCAGCGATGTCGTTAACAGTAGGGACGTTCATTGCTTCACAATTAAAAAGAACTTTTTTCTGCGCTTGAGAGAGAGAGAACCATCGTCCCAGTCGATGTGTTATATTGTGGGGCCTCGTGAAATTTCAGCTTTCCGTCATCTCTGATCTCCTTAAGGAGGAATTGCTGCAAACTTAAATTTGGCGCATGGAGCATGCGCCTAGGTGAAAGCTTATTTTGCGGTTTTAGGTGCACGCATACACGGCAAACATCCTCGTGAAAGTACGGCATCCTACACAGATTGGTTCTCGAGTCAGAAAGATAACAACAGTTTTGCCACCTGAAATTTGCCGTTTGCAGCCGTGGAAGCTGATTTTTCCACGTTTTTGGGACAGCACACAGATAGATACAATCTAAAATTGTTATCCATTTATTTCTGTGCGGTATAATTCCCTTTTTGTGCGTTTTTTGCAGCAGTTCAATGCAAAAAACGCATATTGACGAGAGGTTGTCTGTGTGTGTGTCTGTGCGTCTGTGTGTCCGTGTGTGCGTCTGTCACGGTTTTTCATCTCAAGACCTACAAAAGCTACGGGGCTGAAATTTTGGAAACTTAATCTACATGCACGTACAAGCCCCAATCCCCAAAATTGGCGCCATACCCCGCGTGGTACCCGCGTACGGGCCCGCCAAAGTTTTT